AATCTCTTCCTAAAACGCTTTCATTAAGGTTATAGTTGTATATGATGGGGTCCTGCTTCCGACTATACGACACCACTTTGCATTTTTTGACATTTAACGTTAGCAGATTTCTGTTGCACCATTCCACCTGTATTGCCCATCTAGCTGATTTTTTGGCTATTGAATCTTTAGATGTAAACCTAGTTCAGTTCAGTTCTATTTGTTTCTAGTAAACATAAGTTGCCACATGTGAACGCCGCTTAACACACAAGTTTGTTTCTGTGGCGTCCCATAATAGTATTTTGGTTTTTGGTATGCTCCTGATAGGGGTAGAAACGGGTTAGAACAAAGCAAATCGAGGGGATCGAGGGTGAGTTTCACATACAATGTGCGGCGACGGGCATTCTGACTGATTCAATCAACGTTGTTTTTGCTTCAGCGGAATGTACGTTTCCCGTAGACTGGGCAATTTTTACCGGGGCTGATAAATGGTCGCTGCCGATGACACCTATGAAATACGTCCTGGGAGGGGTGGGGGAGGGTGTTCCACCGCCGCCCTGGATTTTCAATTAAAACCCATGTATGCGGAATAATGCGATGCCAAAGCAAGTTTTACACGGAGTAAAAAATGGCCGACGTCGGACAAGGTCGGGGCGATTTATCCCCTGACAAAAACATAGGGGGCTGTGATTTTTGCGTCTGGCAAGCTTGTTGTTTAGGAATTGTTGGGGCAAACGGACACCCTGCAGCGTATGGTATTCATTCGGAAAAGGAGTTAGGGAAGTAGTAAGTACGTTTTCAGACTTATAAACTATAACCACCGAATGGGGTGACATGTCTTTTCAAATCATATGCCGTGCTGCAAAAAGCTCGGACCAACTTCTCTTATGAAGTAAGGTATCAACTCGTAGCGTATTTAGAGTGTTTTGCTCGCATTCCAAAGCTTCCAGTATCACGCATATACGGTCAGTCAATTTCAAGTAGATCAAAATTTGTACCACCACGGAATACCTATAGGGCCAAAAAATACTACGTCTATTGCTTTCCAGTGTAATGTACCCCCATTTCTTTTTGTATCAAACTTCTAATGAAAATGTTGTATTTATCTATTTATGAGAAACTCAATTAATTCACCAATTAATTCAAGAAAAATAATTTGATTTACTATTTCATATACATATCGTTAACATTTAATAACATAAACTCATTTAGATAAATTGCTAAAAAGGTCTATTTAACACGCAACGCTATCATCAGTTCATGAAGGATTATGTTCGGCCCAAATTATTCCCTTTGAGCTAGCTACAAACATGTATAACAAAAAAATTAAGTGTTAACGCTAGTTCCTTTCCTGCCCTAAGTATCAACCATCTGGCAACGCTGCTGAACCACGTCAGTCACAGCGTCGCATCGTTCCGACAGAGAACCTTTGATTTGTGAAACATCTCAGTACATAGATGCGTAAAATTCCAGCGGTTGGAAACATATAAATATACTGCAGGCGAAAAATGATCAATGGTTTTCAAAGGCTATAAATCTTTTTCGTCCTTGGCTTAGTATTAACCTTGTTTGAAATTTTATAAGGTCCCACCGGTACTTCCCAAGTTATAGGCGGTCCAAGGATTAGAGGACAGACAGACAGCCCAACAGACAGACACACCGACGGCAATGAGTGACATTTTTTCAAGATGTACTTGTCACATAACATCCAAAAACCACAATGTCCCATTTCCGAGATTTTTCGCGGTTGTAATACTTGCTCGCTCAGTGGCGTTGGAAGTATAAAAGCAAGATAAAATTTTGGAGAACTATGAGTTAATGTTGTTGTATCTTAAGGAATATTATGCATGCACCTATTTTCTGGTAAGCAAATATTGCGTCTCTTGAAACAGGTTTGACCTATATCCACATTAGTGAATTCTACAGCGGTAGTGTCGACAATGGTATTTGAATTAGGCTGTCTGATACTGTAATATATACAAGCCAGCTATGTTGTACATTCTATTCTGGGCACAATACATCCCATATGGGTTCCAGTTTGTTATGATTATTTCTTTTTTATACAGCCGCGCAGGCAGAAGCCTATATGCCGGACCACCGCGGTTGCTATGATGATCCCAAAGAAATTTTGTTAATACGATTTTTGAACTGCCTAAGGGTAGTAGAACTGGGAAAAGCTTCCTCTTGTAGATTGTTCCACAGCCTCGACACTCTCGGGACAACGGAGCGGTCGTATCGCCCAGTTCTGGATGTACGAAGCTCGACACGGTTAGGATGGGACGCCAAAGTTAGGCGGGTCTGTCTGGCAGGCACATCGCGCGGCGGCATCATGGCAGAGAGCTCTGAGGAGCAAAGCCCGTTGGTGTAACGGTAGAAAAGAGGTAGAAGAGTCATCGATCAGTCGGACCGCCCTCCTCTGGACAGCATCGAGTATGGATAATGTAGTCGGGGCGGCAGCACCCCAAACGTGTGAGCAGTACTCGAGGCTAGGCCTTATCTGGGCCTTGTATAGCGTGAGAAGGTCATGCGGAGAAAAGTACTTCTTAGCCCTAAACAAATAGCCTAGCTTTTTTCCAGCAGCTGCAGCTATTGACGAGATGGGTTCGTGCCAGATCAGGTCCTCGGTGATCTGGACTCCAACCAGCCGAAATGAATGGCTCTTTGACAGAACTCGGCCATCATCGAAACCGGATGAGCGCTACGACGCTTTTTGTTCGTCAAAGTACAGTACTGTGTTTTGGAAGCATTGAACTGTACAAGATTGTTGCATCCCCATGCAGTGATAGCCTCCAGGTCTTTTGTCAGGGAGGGTGTCGTCGCTAGCCTTCTTTTTTCCAGCTCTATGCCGCTGTACTGAGTGAGGCGTGAAGCGGAGTTCGGGGTGCTTTGAATTTTGGAAATGTTGAAGTCACAATTCTCTTTTGATGTTAAGCTAAAAAATCTTGTGATTTCTCGCATAGGGCAAATAAAGCTAATCAGCTAGATGACAATTTACAAGTTATTTGTGAAGCATAGTTGCTACCTATCTAATCAGTCTTCAAGGCCCTACGCGGGGGATTATACATTATAGTATCAGAATCATCGTCATTATCGCCTAGAAAAATTGTATCTTTGAGCTATGTCTGTAGGAAACACATTCCGCATCTACCTAATACTATATATTTGTGCAATGTAATAAAGGACCTCCCATCTAGGTTTAAGAAAGTGATTTGAAAACTCAAGCCATTCCATTCCTAAGCAAGAATGCAAGCGAGAAGAGGTCACAGTAAGGCAGAGCCGGATTAGCCACGTAGCAAGAGTAGTAAATGCTATTTGGGGGCCCCGCGCTCAAACCCCTGTCCGACCGTAATAAAAAAATATTACTTTAGATAGCAGCGTAAAATATCTTGCATGTCTTAAAAAGGAAGTAATGCTGTAGTTGAAGAGACAGCAATTCCTCCTAATTTAGCTATATCATGTTCTAGCCAAAGAAAAGTTAAAATCACAGAGAGTCCTCCCGACCTGGAGTCGTCGTGTTCTAACCAAAAAGTAGTCGATGGCATATTATTACTTGATCCTAATGTCACTACAGTTTAAAGTCAAAAACGAAACGGAAGTAAAATATACTCCAACGATATTGGTGAATGGCCAAGCAAGTTTGATAGAGATTATTGGATTGAAAGCAGCGAACTGCAACATATGAATAATGATTTTTTGTTTTAAAGAAAATTTACGAAAACGAAAATAAGCCACGATACTGCCATAAGTAATTGTTGACCTATAAACATAAACTAACAAATAAAACTCACGTCAGAGACTGGTTGCGTTATTCGGAAACCAAAGGACGACTTTTCTGTTTTGTTTGCAAAGTTACGAATTCAGATAGTACGTCACCACGGTTTACGAAAGACGAATTAGATGACTGGAAGAATGCGCACAATTTGTTGACAAGACACGAAGAAAGCACTCCGCATAGACAAGCCATAATTTCGCTGTTAAACCTCAAAAACAAGAATCAGCGTGTTGATTCTCAACTTGTGAGCTAAATTGAGACTGAGCAAAAGTTTCGGGGTAGTGACGATATTGTTGGTTCACCTCACTTATCTAGGCTTGTTAGAATTAATAGCCCAATTTGACGTTATTATTGCTCAACATATATAAAATAATGCTAATAAAGGAAAGGGACATACGTCATATTTATCAAAAACAACTTGTGAGGATTTATTCATCTAATTGCATCAAGCATACTGGATCAAATTATTTGCGACATTAGGAGATGCAAGTACTACTCAGTTTCATTGGATTCTACTCCAGATATATCGCATGTAGATCAACTGACTCTGATAGTGCGCTATGTTCAGCCATCTGGGCCAGTAGAAAGATTTGTTAAGTTCTTGGACATGGAAGGTCGAACTGCTGAACAACTCGCTCAAACTTTTCTAGATTTCTTAAGTGAGAGTGGCATTGATATCAAAGATTTCCGTGAGCAGAGCTACGATAATGCCAGCAACATGAGTGCGAAATACATCGGCTTACAAGCTTACAATAAATAAGTACGCCGAATACATTCCCTGTCTAGCACATTCGTTGAATTTGGTTGCTAAGTGCGCTGCAGACTGCTATACAGAAGCATTACTTTTCTTCGATTTCATTGAAAACCTCTAACCGCTTCTACCTATCGATGGAGTCGTCTCACGAATGCACTTAAAGATTCTACTTCAAAAATTCCCAATTTGAAACGGTTATCGGACACTAGGCGGTCAGCCCGAGCTGATGTTACGAATGCACTTTTATGTGGTTTTATCATTGTTAAGCAAGTTTTGGATGACTTTTTCAATAACGTGAATCAAAAAGCTGAGCGCCGTAATAAAGCTTACGGACTAATTTCAACGATGAATAAGTTAGAAACGGGAATAATGACAATTACATGGAACGGAATCCTAGAACGCTTGCAAGTGACTAGTGCTTCGTCGCAATGGTCTGATCAAGACCTCAATACTGGATACGCCCTTTATGGATCATTATAAGGCTACGTCCAAGCAATGCGATCCACATTTTCAGATATTGAGGCAAGAGCCAAAGATCTGACCAACTGTGAAGAATACCAGCAACAGACATCAAGACGAATCAAGCGAAATACAAAGTACGGCCATTTCAGCGGCTCTGCCACACTCGACGACTTTGTTGAAAACCAAACACCTGGACAACGTTTCGAAGTTCAGATGTTCATTGTCACTATTGATAACTAAACGTATAAAAGCATGTCACAAGATTACCTGTGTTTTTGAAGTTGTTCGACAGCTAAGAACTATTACAACAGAAAAGATTTTGAAAAAATCCTCAAGAATGCTTACGAAGATGATTTGGAGAACAGCCTAGGTGGCGAATTAGTACAGTTCGCAGAGCTGCTGAAAACAGATGTGGCTTCTATTATTGACAGCAAGAAACCGGAGCCTCTAGAACAGCAATTTTACAAACTTTTATTAAACGATTCTTTGGAATCGTGTTTCCCAAACTTAGAAATGCCTTGCGTATTTACTTGTCTCTCATGATCACAACCGCAGTGGCGAACGTTCCTTTTCAACAATAAAACGTATTAAAAATGAACTAAGGAACACGATGGGCCAAGAACATCTTAATCATCTCACTTTGTTGAATATAGAGCATGATTTGCTTAAAGAAGTCGTTGTAGAAAGTGTTATCTCTAAATTTGCCCATATTAAATCCAGAAAAGTTTATTTGTAACAATTTTGTTTTATTTAATAGCCTAAACTTGAGAATCTAAAACAAACCAAGGGCCCCTTGACAGAATTTGCTACAGGCCCCGCGCTGGCTTAATCGGGCACTGCTGTAAGGATACCTGAAGAAAGTACATTAAGGAAGCACAAGTAAATTGTTTTTAAATGTCTGATCTAATGGAGACATGCGATGGAACTCAAAAATTTTATAGATTTCATTAATCCTAAAGTTAAACATTCTGAGTATTTTACCTTAAAATGGCGTTGTCATGCATTTACTCTAGGAAACATGTGGCCAAATAACTGAAGACATTTGAACGAAGGTCTGAGATTGTGGGTTCGAACACCATTTGTTCCAATTATCTGATGCATATCTATTTTTTGCCTTACAATTAGTTACTAAGCGACAATTATTTTTACAGTTCGGATTGGGAATAAATATCTTGGACGGATGTTTATAAGCGTTGAATTAACCAATAAGACAAAAAAACGCAACAGTTGTAAAAGCGGTATATTTTCCGACAAACCATTCGACTGTGATATTATCTGTAATGACAGCAGCAGTAACGGGACTGTACGCAAGTGCTCACAGACCATATCTGAAATCTAAATTGAATTTCGTTTGGCAATGAGGTTTTCAATCCGAACACCAACCAGCGACTTTCGAATTTGCATTTCCAAAATTAATTAATTTCACGCATGATAGCAGCCTCGGGCTGGCTTTTTCTTATTTTCCGTTCCAACTAAACATGAGATTGACATTGATTTCCATTCCTTCTGCGTTCCCTTTCATTGGTTTTCGTTTCCCCTCCGAATGTTTTCAAATGGTTTTCATACCTAATGTGACATGGGCTTATTAACTACTAATATTACTGACACCTGAGGATCTGAGATATGAATAAGTTTTGACTCGTCCCAAAACAAGGAAAATAGTATTCTGAATGGTGGGAATTCCCACAAATAACACCGCTTGAAATAGCTAAGCTTAATCGCTCTAAAACGGTAGCGAGACGGCGAAGTAGTACTGAGTGTTCATATGGTAAGAAAAATGTACCGCTCTGTAACATATCACTTAATAAACACCTTCAAAGTTGTTTCCAATCCAATCAATAACACAAATTCATTAACGTCTTTCGTAGTTTGCAACAATTGGGGCTATCTAGATCTTACACTCGCCGTCACCACTAACGGCTTTTGTACGAGATAAATAAATGTATGCAGCGCGGGACGGAAACGTGCAGAAAAAGAATCTGAATATGCTCACAAAGCATGCGCAGCATCCTAAAGGAATTCATCGTGAACTAAAATCAAATCCAAAATTGTTAGTGCTTTAAGAAAATTCTATTCATAGACAAACAGCTCCAAAATACCTACGTATTTATCACGTAGCACCTAGGTTGGATATACTGGCGCTCGTCGATTTTTTTTAACTAATCCTTTGCTGAAGGTAGGCCTGGTGTAGTGGGATAAGCTACATGGAACAACACCTTACTTTACAAAATTCACGTTGTGGGTTCGATCTCCAGACTTTCTCACCTCTTCTGTAACCCGCAAACAGTTAGAAGCTTTTTTGTATACCCAGCAAGCAACGCTTTTTGTATAACTTGCATCTGAGTAGATGCACAGATATCAAACAATCAGACTTTTAACCATCTCTCCACTGTACATATACAAATGATTCTATTTTATATTCATAAAAGGCAGCGTTAAATGCGCACAAATTCAGCACGCTACCTTCCATTGTGTGGTAATTCGGCGCCAGCACCAGGGCCTACCTGATGCTATAGCATCATCATCAATCCGCGTACGAAAGAATAGAGTCATTAGCAGCAATTAAAATATTCGATGATATCTCGCAGGCTAGAATTCATAATTTGTTTTTTCTTGTATTCGGTACTGTTTTTCTTATTGCCGTAGCCATTCCAGCTCCAAAAGTCTAACATGAGAAAATGCTAGAGCATGGGTTCCAGCTATTGATGTCTTGTACCAAATAAAAATCTATGATTCTATCTCCTTTCAAATCTTATCTTTATAGGCTGCCAAGTTCTGTGATCAACACCAAATTCAACTGACATGTTACATATCTCAGCTTTGCTGCTCTCATCGTTAAATAAGTCAAACTACAATGCAATAGCAAACCTATTTTTATGTATTTTTTGTATGTCTGTCTGTCTCCTATAATATCTTTTGCTTGTAATTTATCAAAATTCATGTTTAGGTTTGTTATTCATTTATTATTGCTTTGACATGTTTATACACGTTTTATTACGAGTATATACAAACTACTGCTACTATCACCACCAGTATTGTTGAATGTTCTTCGAGACCTTCAAGTACCGCGGGGAATTACATTTTTTTGATGTATTCCTACCACAATTCACATGATACTTATAAATAGTATTCAAAGTTGTAGTCATGCAATTTAAAAACAAGTCTATTATTTTTCAGATCGTCGTTCCTGTAGGTAACCTGTGCCCATATCTCTTTCTGCGGGATAAATAAACCTGAGGTGGTCCATAATGGAAACGTCCTAAGCTGCTTTCCAGTAGTTTTTGGTTTGAGAATAATGCAGTGGAACGGTATTGGTGCTGAGCGCTATTGAGTTGGTCCGAGTTATTCAGAGTAGCTCAACAGGGCCACTGGAAAGCAGCTCGAGAAAACGAGATAATGAACTCGCAAAACAAATTGTTAGGGGAGTGTGCAATTTTCGGTTTCTTCAAATCCGGTTTGTAGAGGATACACATGCTTTATTGTCACAAGAATACATTCTTTTTAACAAATTATTAAGCAAAACTAAATTATACTAAGTCACATATAAATCCAAACACTCAGTTTCATTTTAATAAAATTTTGTATAAGTACTTAATGAAGCATAATAAGTAAATGATAAAATTTTCAAAATGATTGCACTGCTTTAAAGCTCTTTGACCTTTAATAATGTGTGGATCCACCCTGATGTGCTACGCATTCGCCTACGCGCCTAGGCATGCTTCTGATCAGGTGGTCAATGTCCTCCTGTGGTATCTCATTCCAGGCAACCACCAACTCCTCTCGAAATGCTTCTAGAGTCTGAGGAGGACGTTGCAAATTGAGCAATCTCCTACCCATCATATCCCACACGTGCTCAATTGGGGATAAGTCGGGAGATCTTGGTGGCCATGGTAACAATGTGACATCATTATGTTGAAAGAAGTCTATTGTGACTCTTGCAACATGTGGTCGGGCATTATCTTGTTGGAAAGTTGGATCTGCCAGGGTGTCAAGATAGGGTAAAAGATGGGGTTCTAGAACTTCGTGGATATAACGCTGCGCGTTCATGTTACCTCTGATGAAGGATTAAAGGCGACCAGGAACCATAAGCTATAGCACCCCAAACCATAACTCCAACAGGGTGATGAACATGTCTTTCAACAAAAAAACTGTGGATTCCTCCTTTCACCACGTCGCCTTCTAACCCTGGCACGACCATCGTGCATGCCTAAACAAAATCGAGACTCGTCACTAAAGACAATACTGTTCCATTCCTGATCCCAGAGTGACCGTTGTCTGCACCACTCAAGGCGATTACGTCGGTGTTCTCGAGTTAAAGGGAGGACCCAGTGTGGCCGGTATGAAAACAAGCCAAAACTTCTCATTCGTCGGTAAACACTTCGCATGCCAATAGGTCTTCCGTGTTCTGCAAACCATTCATTTGTAATGGACCTGGTAGTGAAGAAACGGTCCCTTAAGGCCAATAATCTTAGGCGGCGATCTTCACGGTCTGTTGTTCTACGGCGGCGTCCAGTGCCCCTTGCTCTTTGCGTACGGTCTTCTCGAAGCCATGCCTGACAACACCTAACCACAGTGTCTACACTTCTTTGCACTCTAACTGCAATTGCCCGAAAAGAAAGTCCAGCTTCCCGAAGTCCCACTATACGGCCCCTGTCAAACTCACCAAGTTGACGAGATCGTACAGGTCTCCGTACTCTAGGCATCGTAACCGATCGTAAAGGATGTCAAGAACCAAAATCCGCCAACGCTGATTCTTTACTGCGGCTGAAATATTCATTTTTAGAGCGTTAGTGAATTAAAAAAAAGCAGTATAAAAACCGGAATGTCCAACTGATGAGGCTGAAAATTTTTTCACTTGTTATTTACAGTAAGATAAATACATTCACCAACTTTTGTTAAAATAAAACCATTTAAACTGGGTGTTCGGATTTATATGTCACTTAGTATATGTATAATAAGATTACATAGGTGCATTCAAGAACATCAATTACATTATATAAAGTTTCCGAGTTCACGGCGAAATATCCTTGAACTATCCTTCTTTTAATAGCATCAGGGACGAACATTTAAATTTTTAGACCATTATAACTTATTGAGTCTATCCCAAGTGTTGATTTAGGTATTACTAATTTAAGATCTCGTTTTCGTCTAATATCATAACTTATATTTGATGTTCCATATTTAGATTTATTTTTAAAAATAAGAATTGCTGTTTCTGAGGTAAACAAGGATATGACAGA